GTGTGTGTGTTCCCTTTGGTCTTTTAAAAATTTTTTATTTTTAGGTACAGGATCTTACTGTTGCCCAGGCTGGAGTGCTGTGGTGTGATGAGAGCTCGCTGCAGCCTCCAATTCCTGGGCTCATGCCACTACACCTGGCCAATTTTTTAATTTTTGGTAGAGGTAGGGTCTTATTTACTGTGTTGCCCAGGCTGGTCTTGAACTCCTGGGCCCAAGTGGTTCTCCCACCTTGGCCTCCCAAAGTGCTAAGATTACAGCATGAGCCACTGTGCCTGGCCTTCCCCACTTGTTTCATCTAGGTGTATTTTTATTTATTTGCAATCATAGTGTATAGACTTTTTTTTTTTTAAAGATGGAATCTTGCTCTGTCGTCCAGGCTGGAGTGCAGTGGCACCATTTTAGCTCACTGCAACCTCCGCCTCCCAGGTTCAAGCGATTCTCCTGCCTCAGCCTCCTGAGTAGCTGGGATTATAAGCACCCGCCACCACCCCTGGCTAATTTTTATATTTTTAGTAGAGATGGGGTTTCACCGTGTTGACCAGGCTGGTCTCGAACTCCTGACCTCAGGTGATAGCCCACCTCAGCCTCCCAAAGTGCTGGGAATGAGCCATCGTGCCCGGCCCCATAGTGTATAGACTATTATAGACTATTTAATATTTCTACATTTTCACCTAACATCATAATTTTATCATTTTCTTAAATTGCATCCCAGTCTTATAATTATCAAAGAATGTAAAACTCAGTTTTTAAAAACGTTCAGAGAGTTGCTTTGGTATTTAAACAAAATCCCATGTATCTTGAGACCAAACTGTCTTAGTTTGCTACGTATAAGAATTATTAATTCGTTTTGACTTAAACTTTGAATTGAATTTTTTTCTGAAACAAAAACTTGTTTCCTCTTGTCTTAGGCATGCAGAGAAGGAGAAGAAAAATCTTAGATACCTCAGTGGCATATGTGCGGGGAGAAGAGAACTTAGCAGGCTGGCGGCCCCGTGGAGACAGTCTCATCCTTGAGCACCAGTGGGAGCTGGAGAAGCTGGAGCTCCTACATGAGGTATCCAGGGGGCAGGGTTGCTCAGATGCAAGAACTCTGGGACAAGATTGCCAAAGTATCAGTCTTCCTTCCCCCTGCTGCATGTGATCATAGCTTTTTACTTTTCTCTCCTGAGATCTTAACGAGCTCTGTGTTTGCTATAGCAGTAGTATTGATCTTCTCAGGTGGAAAAAACCCGCCACTTTTTGCTGCTGCGTGAGAGACTTGGTGACAGCATCCCCAAATCCATGAGTGACTCGTTATCCCCCAGCCTCAGCAGTGGGACCCTCAGCACCTCCACCAGTATCTCCTCTCAGATCTCAACCACCACCTTTGAAAGTGCCATCACACCCAGCGAGAGCAGTGGCTATGATTCGACAGACATCGAAAGCCTGGTGGACCGAGAGAAAGAGCTGGCTACCAAGGTGTGAATCCCTTCCTCTTTGCTGAACATCTTCCCACAAGGCTCCACAAACTAGCCTCTCAGTTTATTCATTTTCAACAGCTTTGTTTGAGGTGTTTGAAGGCCTGTGATAATCCTGTGAATGTAGAAATAAAAAGTAAGACGCAGTTCCTACCCTCAACAAGCTTACAGGGCCAGGCGCACTGCCTCATGCCTGTTACCCCACCACTTTGGGAGGCTGAAGCAAAGGGATTGCTTGAGCCCAGGAGTTTAAGACAAACCCGGGCTAACATAGTGAGACCTTGTCTCTACAAAAACAAAAATTAGGCCAGGCTCAGTGGCTCACGCCTATAATCCCAGCACTTTACAGGGCTGAGGCAGGCAGATTACCTGAGGTCTGGAGTTTGAGAGCAGCCTGGCCAACATGGTGAAACCCTGTCTCTACTAAAAATACAAAAATTAGCCAGGCGTGGCGGTGGGCGCCTGTAATCCCAGCTACTCAAGAGGCTGAAGCAGAAGAATTGCTTGAACCCGGGAGGCAGGGATTGCAGTGAGCCAAGGTAGCTCCACTGCACTCCAGCCTGAGCGACAGAGTGACACTCCATCTCAAAAAATAAAATAATAATAAATTTAAAAATTAAAAAATATAAGGGCTTACAGAATATTAGGTCACAAGCATATAATAGAGGTGTGTGTTTCAAATGCTATGGGAGTCAGAGGAGAAGCATCTGTAGTGGGGGCGCTCATGAGTTGACCTTGGAAGGATGTGCAGGAGGGAGGCAGTGGTGTCCTGCATGATCCAGTCTTGGGGAATTCATGTGGGACTGGAACAGAAGGTGTGTAGTGAAGAATCTTGTATATTGCACTGAAGAGTTTAGAGTGGATGATGCGAGCAATGCAGAACTATTTTAAACAGGTACTTGTGTTTTAGAAAGATTTCTGGCCAGCCGCGGTGGCTCATGCCTGTAATCCCACCACTTTGAGAGGCCGAGGCGGGTGGATCACAAGGTCAGGAGCCCAAGACCTTCCTGGCCAACATGGTGAAACCCCGTGTCTACTACTAAAAATACAAAAATCAGCCGAGCGTGGTGGCCTGCGCCTGTAGTCCCAGCTACTAAGGAGGCTGAGGCAGGAGAATCGCTTGAACCTGGAAGGCGGAGGTTGCAGTGAGCCGAGATCGCGCCATTGCACTCCAACCTGGGCGACAGAGTAAGATGCCATCTCAGAAAAAAAGATTTCTCTAGCAGCAATAAAGAGAATGGATTGATGGTAAAGAGATATGCTGAGGAAGGGAGAATTCTTTATCTTTATTACAGTAATCCGATGAGAAATGATAAAAACTTAAAAAAAAATTTTTTTTTTTGAGATGCAGTCTTGCTGCCATCACGCAGGCTGGAGTGCAGTGGTGCGATCTCAGCTCACTGCAAACTCCGCTTCCCAGGTTCAAGCGATTCTCCTTCCTCAGCCTCCCAAGTAGCTTGGAGTACAGGCATGTGCCACCACATCTGGCTAATTTTTGTATTTTTAGTAGAGACGGAGTTTCACCACGTTGGCTAGGCTGGTCTCCAACTCCTGACCTCAGGTGATCCACCCACCTCGACCTCCCAAAGTGCTAGGATTACGGATGTGTGGATGCCCGGCCAGATAAAAGCATTTTAAAGAAGGCAGAGGTGGCCGGGTGCAGTGGCGCATGCCTGTAATCCCAGCACTTTGGGAGGCTGAGGCCGGCAGATCACCAGGTCAAGAGATCACCTGAGGTGAGGAGTTTGAGACCAGCCTGACCAACATGGCAAAACCCTGTCTCTACTAAAAATACAAAAATTAGCCGGGCGTGGTGGTGGGCACCTGTAATCCCAGCTACTCGGGAGGCTGAGGCAGAGAATTGCTTGAACCTAGGAGGCGGAGGTTGCAGTGAGCCACGATCGCGCCACTGCACTCCAGCCTGGGTGACAGAGCGAGACTCCATCTCAACAACAACAACATAAATAAATAAAATAAAAAGAAGGCAGAGGCATGTGTGATGAAGAGGAAGGGGAATCTGGTTGGATACTGCCTTCTTTCAAAGGAGGCAGAGGTATGTGGGAAAAGGCAGAGGGATTGTTGAGGATGTCTCCCAGGTTTGGTTTCTGGGCAGTTGAAAAGAAAATACAAAAATGAGAGGAGTTTTATGTTTGGTTTGTTTTAATACTCAAATAGTCTTCTGGTTTATTTAGGAAAATATGTCCATCCAGAAGCCCTCATGCCTTTTAGCACCAGAGTGAATTGAGAATTAAAGAGGTAGCTGGCTGTGGTGTCATGCACCTGTAGTCCCAGCTACTCAGGAGGCTGAGGTGGTAGGATTGCCCAAGCCCACGAGTTCAAGCCCATCCTGGGCAACGTAGTGAGACCTTGTGTCTAAAAAAAATAATTAAAAAAAAAAAAAAAGAAAAGGAGTGCTATTGACTTTTTTGTGTTTTGTTTTGTTTTTTTGAGACGGAGTATCGCTCTTATTGTCCAGACTGGAATGCAATGGCACGATCTCAGCTCACTGCAACCTCCGCCTCCCAGGTTCAAGCGATTCTCCTGCCTCAGCTTCCCGAGTAGCTGGGATTGCAAGCATTTGCCACCATGCTCAGCTAATTTTGTATTTTTAGTAGAGACGGGGTTCTCCATGTTGGTCAGGCTGGTCTTGAACTCCCAGTCTCAGGTGATCCTCCCGCCTCAGCCTCCCAAAGTGCTGGGATTACAGGCATGAGCCACCGCACCCAGTGCTTTTTTTTTTTTTTTTTTTAGACAGAGAGTTTAGGTCTTGTGGCCCAGGCTGGAGTGCAGTGGCATGATTTCCGCTCACTACAGTCTCTGCCTTCCAGGTTCAAGTAATTCTCCTGTCACAGCCTCCCTAGTATGTGG